AAGGCCGCATAACGAGGACTCTTGGAATCTGACCAGAGCTCGGCGCCGCGCTATGATGTCATCAGCCTTCGAATCCGGTCTTCTAAGGATGCGTCCTAGGTTTTCGAACAGAGTCATTTGCTCATCTGGTTGCTGTAGAGTCTATATCACCTGTTTCTACCTGAGCCTGGTTGCTGTAGAGTCTATATCACCTGTTTCTACCTGCTGATCCAGGAGAATCAGTGACTGGATCCAATCAGTTGGTTTTGCTTAGATAGAAATGTTTAATCTGACTGGATTATCTGATTGTTCTGGATCTATGAAGAGGACAGGATGAGAATTGGATCATAGAAAGAAACAGAACAGAATAGAGCCTGAATATTGAACCGACCTCTCTGCATAGTTTAATCACCTGTTGCCATCTGATCAGATCAATGGATGAATTGAAATGTGTGTTTGTGACTGGATGGATTTTTATTTTTATGGATTTTTATTCAATGATTTTAGATCCGATAATAGACCTTTTCTGAGTAGATTTAGGGCAGAAGAAAAAAATAGATTGTCATCTATGGATCTTCATTTTCTTCTGGAGATCAATTCCCTTCTTCTTTTCACTATAATCCCCTAATTCTCAGCCTCTAAGCTCACTGAAGGTAAAGTCATTCAACCCAAGAATATGGTAGTTCCTCTGACAGCCTAATGGTTAAATCAGTTCAATCACTTCCACTAACCCAGCTGATCATTCTCATTTACCCTAGATCCAATCAGCTGACTGTAAATTTTAAAAGCGGAGGCCCCTCATGGGTTGCCCCCATTAGGCTGTAACACGAATCCCCCCTAAAATTAAAACACTATCAAATTCTGCTGGAATAAAGTGCACCACCAGGTCACATGACTTACTCACCTGAAGGTGAATTAAAATGGCCTCATTGCTTTTATTGGTTTGGTTTAGTGGAGTTTGATTGTCTAATGTGAAATTAAATTGATTTTTGATTCATTTAGATTAAGTCATGAAATGTTTCAGCTTTCATTGCAGGTTTCTAACTAACTGTAAGGTCATTTTTGAAATGTCTTGTTTAGAGCAGACAGGTTATTTGTTATTAAGCCTGTAAATGAAGCATTAGCTTTAGCACTTGCAGTAGAAGTGACGCTAGCAGCTAGCTATCATGCTAACTGGAAAGTCGTTGTTGATCTCTCTTGTTTAGAGCAGACATGTTATTTGTTTATTAACCTGTAAATGAAGCATTAGCTTTAGCATTAGCAGTGGGAGTGATGCTAGCAGCTAGCTAGCATGCTAGATGGAAGGTCATTTTTGAAATGTCTTGTTCAGTGCAGACAGGTTATTTGTTTATAAACCTGTAAATGAAGCATTAGCTTTAGCACTTGCAGTAGGAGTGATGCTAGCACCAAGCTAGCATGCTAACTGGAAGGTCGTTGTTGATATGTCTTGTATAGAGCAGACAGGTTGTTTGTTTATTAACCTGTAAATGAAGCATTAGCTTTAGCATTAGCAGTGTGAGTGATGCTAGCAGCTAGCTACCATGACAACTGGAAGGTCATTGTTGACATGTCTCGTTTAGAGCAGAAAGGTTATTTGTTTATAAACCTGTAAATGAAGCATTAGCTTTAGCATTAGCAGTAGGTGAGATG